TTATAATTATAATATAAAAGATAAATAATAGAATATTAAAAAAAATCTTTATTTAACTTATATTTAACTTTGATATAATACTAATATTTATTTTTTATTCTGCCTTATATCTGCCAAATAACTGTAGTATAACAGATTATAAATAAATAAATAAAAAATAGTTATTAAAATATAAAAGACAGACTGTTATTTATTCTTTATATATTCATTTGACTTTTGGTAATTGGTTAAAGATTTATTAGTTGTAAGTATAGATTTAGGTTGTTTTCAAGCACCTCTCTCAATAATTAATTAAATGATCTGATTGGCTAAAAAAATAAATCATAATTAATAATTTAAATCAAAAAAATCTAAACCTGACACCTATCTTTTTTTTTCACAAAGTTGCACTAATTGATTAAAAATTACTATTGATAAAGTAACCAGAAAGATAGCTCAAGCATATTTTTCTAGTTTTATAGTATAGATCTTCAATAAGCATACTATTAACTCAAAAAAATTATTACAATATTTTTTATACTTGAATTTTTTATAACAAATCGAAAACATTCGAATATTCAAATGCAACAAATAAATAACTACCTTTTAGCTTTAAATTATGTCATAATGAGCTCAACTATTTCATTTACTCTTTCTTTATCCAACACAAGAACACAACACCAAAAAAGACCTAAAACAGGAGAATTTTGGACTAAAATCTTTTCATATTTGGTAGATGAAGAATGTTACAATTCATTTTAGCATTATTTTTACATTAATCTAATTACTTTTCATACTATTGTAACTAGTTTAAAGACACATTCAATTTTTATTTCAAATGCACTTAATGCAACACCTGTATGGAAACAAATTGCAATTGTACTATAGTGACTAGCAAATAAAGTAAGAATACAGGTGTTAGAACAAATGCTTAAAGTAAGTTAGGAGTTTGTAAGCCATTTTATAAATAGATTTTTAAAGGCATTATTAGATTTGAAGAAAGACTAAATTTTATGGCTACAAGTATTACAAATAGTAATGGTAATGCAGAAATTTGAATATGAAGAAAATGGATTTGGAAATTAAAAACTATCTAATTGTATTGGCATAATAGATGGGTCTCATATATCTATTTACCTACCTTCAGAGAACAGTGCACATTATGTTAATCATAAAAATTTTCATTCTATTAATCTTCTTGCAGTTGTTGACTACAAAAGACATTTCACATATTTACATGCCAGAAAAGCAGGTTAGTAAAAAGTTTTATTTTATTTTTAATAAATTTATTTCTAACTATATTATTACTATTTTAGGAAGTGTACATGATGCTTGTGTATTTTATAGATTATCTCTTTATCATAAAATTTCTTCAAATCCTAACAATAGGTACCAGGTAATACTTATATTATTGCTAATGCAGCATACACTCTTTGAACTTACTTAATGAAAGCATACCCTAATTATTACATTTTAACACATTGGGAAAGACAATTTAACAAAGCTCTTTCATCAATGCAAATGGTTATTGAATATGTATTTGAATGTTTAAAAAATTAATAATGAATTTTATTGAAGGAAATATATTGCACTGAGATGAAATGAATCATTAGAATAATACATACATATTGTATATTACACAACTTCTGTATTGACATAGGTGATTTATATTCTTTAAAAGATGATGAGTTAGATAATAGCGCAAATAGTGACAATGAATCTGTACTAGTAATAAATGAAACAAGAGAAGAAACAGTAAGCATTCAAAAAAAGAGTATTTAACAAATCTTATAAATCAATAAATTTATTAATATTAAAAATGTAATTTTTTACAAATATTATTTGCAAATACATTATTTGCAAGCACATCGTTGGCAAATACATTATTGTAAATTAAAATTTAAATAACAATTGTCTAAAAATATCTATTAATTTGTTGTGCTGATTTTGTTAAGTTTCAGATACATGCATATATTGATTTTTTATAAGTTTTGTTATTGTTTTTATTTGTTCTTTAATAAAAGATCGAAGTTCTTCTATATTCAATTTTTTTTTTTCAAGATATATGTTTCTTCATTTTCTATTATTATCTTATAAAATTATAAATTAGCTAAAATAAAAATAAAAAAAAATTAAATTAAATCAATAATAAATAAATAATTTTTACTTCAGCTTCATCTTAATCATTATTTGTTTAAACTTTATGTTTAATTTCATGGATCAAATCACTTGTAATAGGAGTGGTAACACTTGGGTCTTTTTTAGATACTTATTCATGTCATTAAAAACTTCTAATCATTCTAAATAGCTTCTTCACTAGTGCTTGCAATTTTATTTTTAATGTTACAATATTTCTGCATAATTGCATTACATTTTTGTTGAATTGAAGTTTTTGTATATTTTTTTAAAACTGAACTTGCAATATCAGAAACTTGAATATTAAAAATAATTATATCTCAGATTTAACCTTTCTCTCTGAGATCCTTAATATATTGTAACATTCTTTGATGCTTTCCTATTTTATAAATAAGTATTTGAGTTTCTGATAGAGTTCATTAGTTTGCTGATTTGCTAGAAAATGTATTGGAATTAATACTAGTAAGTAATGAATCATAAGTTAACAGCTAAAATAGAGTTAACAGATATAGAATCAAAGAGTAGTAAATTTTTTTGACCACAATAATTAATAAAAGAAGACTATAAAAATGGTGCATTAAAAAAAAATTTTTTTACAATTAATTATATTTAAATCAAAGATAATTATATTTTTAGTATTTTTAGTGCATTTTAGTACTGTTTCATCTAAGGAATTTATATAAACTTGAGTAGCACAAAATTGCTATTGCTGCAATGTCAAATTATTTGTAAAATTGATAAAAGGAATATTATGAATAGCTGGTATCAAAGCTTCAGAAACTAAGGGTTTAGATGCTAAAAATTTAGGAATCAAAGGCTTAGAAGCCAACATTCTAGAGGCCAATGTTTTAGCAATTGAATAAATAATCAATTTTTTCTTTTTTAAAGGCATTGATAATAATAATATAATAAAGATTGCTCAAGCACTGATCGCAATCATTATTTAAATTAATTATAGTGCTTGTGCATTATCTTGATTACTATGCGATCATATTGAAAAAGGTGCTTGAGAATGGCCTTAGTAGGATTAATTTAAATATTGGCTATATTGTAGAAAGATTTTGCTATATTAAGAATTTGTAAAAGCTTTTATTATAAGAATGCAATTCAAAGAGTGTCATCTATATATGCAAAAACTGAACAGTATAATTTAAATAAGTTATATATTAGATTTTTAAGATTGGTTGGCTAGAAACTTTTGTAATATAACTATTAAAGTTGTTGTAAATATATGAAATAAGTAGGTTATAGTAAATTCTTTATAAGAGAGAAGTAATAGTTTTACCTTGATTAATATTATTAAGTACAGAATATAAAAGTATAAAGCTGAGATTTGTAATAACTTATTCTGTTAATTAGTAAATAAGTTAATGATAGTGTTAATAATAGAACTAAAAAGTGCAAGATGCTAGAAAAATGTTGAAAAAGATTCAAATTTACAGAATTATTAACTTTATTCATATCTTGAAATAAAAACTAAATAGTTTTTTGGTTGCATAATACATTCTTAGTAATATTGTTATGTATATAGATAGTCATAGAGGTACTGTTATTAGGTAAGTTGACATAGTTATATAGTAAAAGTATGAAATATTTTGAAAATATATTACTAATTCTATTAGTAATAATTTTTGTATAGACTTTGTGAGTAAGTTTAATAAGACTTATTGAATAAGTAAAGTTAAGGTTTCTATCGAATGTATATTGTTTAAGAATAAGGTAGATTCTGCTATGTTTAGAAGTTTAATCTGAAACAAAATAGTAGTTGAACAAAGCAGTTATAGCTTAAATGCAGGTAGTACTAATATGTTTAAGCATTTTATAACTGATGTTTGTAGAACCACAGGCTTTTTTATTAGAAAGCTTTGCTATAGTTTAAGTAACTTCTTTTTTAGTAATAGAAAAAGAAAGAGTATCATACTATTAAGTATTAATATATAATAGTAGTTAATATTATGTAAATCAAAAGTTATTAAAAAGGCTTTGGTCAGTTGGTTGATAAGCTGTTCAATTATAAAAATAAGATTGTATATGATATTTATTAAGGTTTGGATCTGTAACTATTTGGTCAGGAAGTTTAATATTAGAGAAATGAATAAGAGCTTTGTAGTAATTAAGAATGCTATTAATAGTATATTTGGAATATATAAAAAGTATTTTATATCTTTTTTCAGTAGTTTGTTAACTTTGTTGTTAAAGTAGGAGAGAGTTTTCAAGATAATAAGCATGATAGAGTTGTTTTTAAATATTTTGTACATGTTGAATTTATTAATTTAGTTGTAAATGCTGATAGAAGATAAGGGTATAAATATTGCACTAAGATCTTAAGTTAATATTTTGAAGTCTTGAATTAATCTGGTTAATATTAAGATTGTTATTAGGATCTTTTATAATTTTGATTAAGTAATCAAGTTCTTTAAATAATAAATAAAGTAATATGTTATAAGAAGAGTATTGATAATTATAGCTATGTTTGTATAATTTTTTGTTAGAAATAGAATTTATTGCAGTATTAATAATTAAGTATTTAATTTTGTATTAGGTGATTTTAATACTTTTATTTGTATTATAGTTAAGTGGAGTATTGTATGTTTTAAAATTAAAGAAAAGAAGGTCAGAAAATTTTGTTCAACTTTCTGATAACATAGCTTTATAGTTAAAAATTCTATAACTAATACTAGTATTATAGCATAGTAGTTTACTATATGCATTAGTAAAAGTTTAAAAAAAGAGAAGAATAGAATGCTTACTTAATATAGAAGTATTACTGTCATCAAGTCTATATGAAAAAAAAGCTGTATATTGAATGAGTTAGTTCAAATGTAGTTAATATAAGTTTGACTAATATTGTTTGATCATAAGTAGTATTTGTTATTAACATGTACTCTAAGATCATATATGTTAGATTAGTATAAGTAGTTAATAAATTAAAATTTGGATAAAAAGCTACAAATGTTATTGTGTATATTAAAATTTCCAAAAACAATTAGATAAATATTTAGTTAATAGACTTGTTGAATCTATATAATTACTGTATTTTATATTTTATTATGTTTTTGCATATCAGTAGAGAAAAGATAAACTGCTATAATATGAACTTTAATATTACTTTTGAAAAAAAAATCTAAAGCAATAGCTTCACCAAGATGTATTTAGCAATAGTGTATATGAGGTTTAAGTTAGTTATAAATCATAATAGTAGTACTTTCTGCTGAGTTTTCAGAGTTGGCTCAGAAATAGATAAAAAGATTTTTATTACAAAACTAAAAATTAGTTTTGTTAACTATTTTTGTTTTAGTAATATATTGTTAACCTACAAAAACGATCATAACTCTTGAACCACTAAACAGAATTCGATGAAACCACCACCATTCGAATCAGCTCATTGAGACGGTTCTAATGAGGTACAGATCATCCATTTCCAATCACAGGATCACAAAATCGAATCTGATAACCAAATTAATAAGAAAGCTGTGATCTGATTGGTTGATAATAACTGCGCGAAATATCATACATATAACATATGGGTTGGTACACAGCAAAACCATGCTTAGAGACAATTTTCATATTAGTAAATATCAACGATTAATCATTTTTATGCAAACTTGGTAATTGTGATAAAATTAGAATATTGCATATCGATATAGTTGCCGGTACATTAAAGCGACATATTTGATTTGACAAAAAAAAAATCTACGATCATAATAATTAAATACTGTGACCAATAATTAACCAAACTAGTAAGTTATACTTTTAAGAACTGTTTTAACTTTCGAGTATGGCTACAAATTCTTCGCTATCAAAGGTCTTACTATTACGCATTAATAAAGTAATAGCATTGAAATTTTATGAATTAAACTAATCATATGCATTGCTAAATAATTTTAATCATTATTTATCACTTTATAATTGTTGTAACTTTTTGAACTCGCTATATTAAAGTTGTTCAACATGCATGGCTAGAATACAATAATTATTAAAGTGAACTAATCAAGTTGCAATATATTTTAGTAATAATGTGTTTAATACTATAACATTGCACTATAATTTTTATGTATTTTAATTAAAGTTTGGTAAAATTTTTTGTAATAAATAAATGTTGCCACAGGAGAATTTATTAGACAAACTTTATAAGTTTTTTTTTAATATTATTCAAATTCTAAAAATTCAATTTTGATTTACTTAATTCAATGGAAACAGAAAATTTTAATAATAAACAAGGTCACAAAAACCTTGAACAAAATGATATAAATATTGCGCCTTCTTTTGCTAAGCTAGGATTAGAAGAATATGATAAAACGAATAAAATTATTCAACAAAATGTTCAAGAATTATGTAAATTTTGGCAAAATGGAGTATGTGCCTGTAGAAAAAGTAAAAGCAAAAAAAAACCTTGTTTTGAAAAAATAGGATTCTATCGGTTTTTTATAAGACAAGAAGAATGTCGTAATATGTCACATAATAATCTAGATACCTGGATTCAAGGACAACTTGCTTTATTTGCATATAATGAATCTCTATTAAATAAAAAAAATTCTCAAGAGTTAAACAATTCTGCAATACAAAATCGTATTAAATATCAGTATCGTTATAATAATCAGCACATAGTATGTTTATCCACTTATCTGATATTAGTCATGATTTCCTCAAGTCATCTTGATTGAATTAAAGCTCATATAAAAAATAATGGGATGACTGAAATAATTCATGGTAACACTGAGTGCACTTCAATTCGATATGATCGTGCTGTAATTGATAATGAACTAAAGCAAGAGCTTAGTAATTATCTTCAAAACAATGCCAATCTCCATGAATTCCCATCACCTTGTCGAAATATGCAAAACTATTCAATACCTATAATTTTACTTCCTATTGATCAAACATATACTAGCATTTATGAAGAATATGTTACTATGATTAAGTCTAATAAAAATAAGGACTACAAAGTTATAGCTTATACAACGTTTCTTCAAATTTGGAAAGAAGTTGCACCTCACATTCGGTTTATGACTAAAGCATCAGATCTATGCGATAAATGTGAACAACTTTGTGCCAAAATTTGAGCTACTAATGATATTGTAGATAAGCAAAAACTCCAAGCTGAATATAACCTTCATCGTGCAGCTGCAACAGTTGAGCGTAATCACTATAATAAAAATTTTTATTTAGTAAACAATCAATATCTGATGTCATACATATTTGTTATGACTGGGCTCAGAATGTGCCTATTCCTTATTCGCCACGGCAACCTGAAGGTTTATTCTTTAAATCTCCATTTAATATTCATATTTTTGGGGTTGCTAATACTGGTTTAGAACCAATGACACAAAGAAATTATATGATTGGTGAGCACCAATTTCCTATGAAAACATCTAAGGGTGCCAATACTACCCTTAATCTTGTGTACGATAGTTTACTTCACTAGAATCCATCACAAAAACATCTAAAGGTTACATGCGACAACTGTAGTGGGCAAAATAAAAATAATCTAACTCTTTGGTTTTATTTATGGCTTACAATTATTAAACGCTTCGATACAATTGAACTTAATTTCATGATTCCTGGACACACCAAGTTTATTTGTGATTCATACTTTGGAATAATTAAATCACAATATTGTAAACATAATGTCATGAGTATGGATCATATTGAAACAATTATCAATCAATCTAAAAAAGATGGAAGTAACGTAGCAGTTAGATATGACAAAAAAGGAAAAATAGGATGGAATTATTATGATTTCGAGACTTTCCTTGAACCTTATTTTATTAAGTATGATGGTATGCGAGCATTTCGGCATTTTTATTTTTATCACGATAGACCTGGAAAAATTTTTATGTCATTAGAATCTAATGGTGTAAAAACTGAAGCCATGATTCATAATAATATTTATTTTGACCCATACAAACCTTTAGATATAATTCCCTTAAAACCATTATCTTTAAAACGCCAAACACAGTTATTTAAAGAGATTCACCCTTACATACATGATCCTTATAAGGATGAATTATGTTTTGCTCCAAATAAACATGTTTAAAAAACTAGTTTCGCTTCTAAAAAAACATATGTTTTACCTTTTATTAGTTTATTTTCTGTAATTTCAAGCTTTCCTTTCGCAGCAGAATTAGTAGTTCTTATCATTATAGAAAAACTATGTTCATGTTACCCCTTAACATTTATTGTGTAACGGTAACCACTGATCTAAATTTAGATTGTAAAGCCCGAAATTAGTAAAATAACTGCGTATCAACCTGTGTTAAATTTTACTATGTTAATGTGTATCAAAATTTTTATCTCGAATAGAGCATGTATTTGAGAATATAACTCAGTAAAAATCTCAATTTCGGTTAGTACCTCTCTAAGCATGGTTTTGCTGTGTACTAACCCATATATCAAATTTATGTGATTTGAAGCATCTATATTTTATATTATCTTTAGTTTATATATATTATTTAGTTTATTTCTTTTATTTA